TCGAATTGGCTGATCAATTCTTGGAAGCGCAAGGTGGAACTAATTTGGCCAAGGTCAAGAAGGAATATCCCGAAGATTCGAAAATTTCGGCACCCGAACAAAAGAAGCGTGCACGGTAGAGTGTTCCGCGATGTTTTCTGTGTAACCGAGTGGGTCATCGCGCGAACAACTGTCGTACTAACTTTACGAGCCCTACGGTAGTAAAATGTTTCAAGTGTGGTCAGACTGGGCACAAAGCAGACGCTTGTCGGAACGGAGTGAGTCAAACTCACCAGGTATCCTGTGTGCTAGCAGCACCGAAATCCGATAGTGATGCCGTCAACGACGGATTCGTAGAGTTGAAAAATGGGGAGAAACTTCCTATTGTGGGTGCTGTAATGACAAAACAGCCAACCGGTGTTACGAAGGGAATGCCAACGCTGCCTGGAAAAGTTGCGGGCAAAAAGGTTACGGTGTTAAGAGATACCGGCAGCTCCACTGTTATCGTGCGGAGAAATTTGGTACGGAAAAGTGAGTTAACAGACAAAACGAAACCAGTTTGCCTAATTGACAGTACGGTTCGGATGCTTCCCGAAGCAAAGATTGAGGTGGAAACCCCGTACTTCGGCGGGAAGGTTACCGCTCTATGTATGACGACCACCCTGTACGACCTTGTCATCGGAAACATCGACGGGGCGCGAGGACCGAATGATCCGGAATGTTTGGGAGAAGACCCTAAGATAGAGCCTTCGCCAACCCAGCGACCGCGAGATAAAGTGGAGGAGCATCCCGTGACGGATCTCACTAGAGCCCAAGGTGAAGCCGTGGCGCAAGAGACAGCGAATGAGAAGATGATCATGTTGAATGAGTTCACGTGCTGGGCAGCTGGACGTACATCAGCACGACCTCAACCGACCGACAGTGTAAAGGTGACGGAGTCGGCCAGCCAGGCCAAACGTCGTGGCATGAACAAGCGGGTGAATAACCGGGCAGGATCGGTTGAATGTCACGACCCGTCAACAATGTCGGAAGTGACAACGATGGCTGAGACGCCGCCTCAGATACCGTCGTTGGAAGGGACTTGCCGGAACAAAACGAGGAAAAACAATAAGGAGAGATCGAGAGAGCACCGCAAGAAAGGGCGCAAGCGCTGCTCGAAATGCACCGGATAGGTGCTGAGGTAAAATCGGATTGTGTTTGGCAGGGCTGAGTGTCATATGTTGTGTTAATGTTCTTGTTATCCTGTGTCACAACTCTATGTCGAGCGAATCAAAATGTTTGTTGCGGTTATGTGATGTATTGTACAATGGTGGTAATGAGAGAACTTTGTATATTTGTATTGTTTGGAATATGTGATGGAGTATTGTATTCATGTACCTGTGGCTATATTCTACGCGTTGTGAGATTGAATCGCAATGTACAGTTGTATTGAGTGATCTATTGTGAATGTGAAGTGTCATGAGCGACGGTTTGTGTTACAGTCTTTCAGAGTGTGTGGTGACTGTTCGCGCACGTTTGTGTGGTTTTGAATATTATGAGATAATATTCTTAAAGTGGGGGGGGGGGCAGTGTCACAGAACGAGCGCTCAAAAAGGGCGCGCCGCCAAATTCTCGCGACGAAACGCCGGAGTGACGCCGCGAGGTCAACGTTAAAAAAAAGAAAACAAACATCCAAAGACTCCCCGGGTGCGCGACTCTCTCCCTCGGAAGCGTGGGTTCGCCGACGAACCTCCTCTCATCGGCGCCCGAGCAAGCACTGGAACTTTCTAGATGGAAAGGGGCGTGGTGATGCTGGGTTGCGTCATCCGTCGCGGACGGCCTTCGAACCGTCTCGCCCTCTCCCCGGCCTTCGCTGTGTGTCGCGCCGACGAAATGATGAGAACTTTCTGGAATTTCGCGCGGAAGGTATTTAACCGAGCAGCGGAGATGGGAAAGCAGGAGAAGACGGAAGTTAGCGCCAGAGCGCGTAGGGATTCCGCCGTGTAGTCGGCGAAGGTTTTGTCCGTAGAGACAAAGCAGGAAAAGAAGATGATTTCCACCTGAGGGGTGACGACTCGAGCTACAGGCAAGAGTGTGTGTTTACCACTATCGAGCGAAGACGCGTGGCAACAGCTGCGTGTGTGATGCCGACGTGTTTCCGGCGAAGAAGTTTGAAGCTTGGAGAGTGGCCAATTGAAGACGCGAGGTTTCCTGGAACAGAAACTTCGGGGGCAGTGGAACGACAGCAACGCTGGACTTTGAGTGAGTGATTCTCGGAAGAGTATCATCCAGACTTTTGTTCCAAGAACTTTGGACTGAATAGGTTTTCTATCTCTTTAGTCTTCAAGTGTCTTGGTTGTTCAATGCATGCGACTGCAATGTAGTGAGTATTGTTGTCTGTGTCCGTTGTTTAGAGTGTGGCTGATTGTACTGTACATTGTTTGGTTGGTGACCTATCGTATTCAACTATTGTCAAGTGTGCATACTTGTGTATCCTTTTGATCTGCCATAATTGAGAATGTAATTTTGTTTTGTTTATCAACTCTCGGCTCTGACTTGTTCTTTGGGCCACAGCCGGCGTCCGCTGGCGCGCCAAATAGGACCACTTCTAAATTGTCCACGCTTTCGTGATGTGGTTCGGGGTCCGATACTTCGGCCCTTTGAATTAGCCCGGCGATCGCCTCCCTAATTAACGGGACCGGTGACAACGTCATAGCTGCCATTTATTATTTTTTATTTATTTTTTGCCACATTTGTTCCCGCAGTTTATATTTCTCGGTGGCTGGTTGCGAGTGCACGGTCGTGACGCACGCTTAGAAAGTTTTGTATTTGGCGACATTGCAGTCCCGTTTCCTATTTGAAAGTAATTCTTGATGCGGACCGAGCGGAAGTGTGTCACAGTTATGTGTGCTAACGTGGTCAAGAGCTGCACACGCTAGGTGGCGACAGTTGCACCCAGTTTTTGGAGCTGTCTAATCAAAGTGAAATTGGTTCATAATGATGGGCCTGTAAATAATTATCTGTCGCGTGCTGCAGCATACGATGTGTCGTGTCATGACTAACTAGGCCCCCAGCAATGCATCTCATCGGAAAAACGCGAGGCCAATGTTTATGTGTCAGTACCCCTTTAATGCGAATGTGAAGGAAAAAAAGTGGACAAAAAGATTAGTTGCCGCCGGCAGGGACCGAACCTGCGACCTTCGAAGAACACGTCCGATGCTCTACCTCTGAAGTGTCGCAGCTTGGGCTAGTTGGTATGACATGACGATAGTTATAGCGCGAGAAGAGAACGACGACCCTTCTTGTCTCTATGTCGTCGTTCTGTTCTCGCGCTATACCTATCGCCGTGTCATACCAACTAGCCCAAGCTCCACACTCCTACCTCTGAGCTACGGCGGCGGACATCCCCCTGTCCACCTTGAATATAAACGTGGGAGCGTCAGTCAGCGCCGCCAGTGGCCATTACTGTTATATTTACGCTTTTATTTTTGCTTGTTGGCGTAACGTAACACGTGATCGTATTACAATCTGGTAGCTGACCAATCATGAATGAAGGAAAGTTACGTAACTCGTGATCTTATTACAATCTGGTAGCTGACCAATCATGAGTGAAGGAATAAACTTTCCTTCCTCCATGTGACCAATAATCTCTCGCATACCACCCGAAGGCATCAAGGCTGCCGGAATGAGACCCTCGCTATAAGTGGAGTAAAGAATTACGTGTAAAATTAAAGCTCGTTTTCTTTGTTAGACAAAATAATAGTGATAATTAACAGACGTGCTGACGTGAACAAAGTATTGGGGATGTTATTAGAGGTTTTTAGTCTGTCCGGTATTTCGGTAACGCAAAAGGCGGGCGTACTACCAAATAATGTGCCCCATAGCTGCAACCACGTCACGTGGCGCCATCTATAGAACAACAAAGACAACTAAAAAACACGCATTTTACGACCTCTGAGATTCCAACAGCGTAACTGACTAACCCTACAACATTGATTACCTGAGTAAATCTCTCGAAAACATCGCCGAATTGACACAAATACTTTGCAGTCGATAGTTAAGACCATGAATCTCAAGCAAATGAAAGCATCTATTTGAAGCTAGCGCGCTACAGAGAGCGCGACGGCCACTCGATAAATTCGAGGTGGACGGCAATCGATTTCAGCGGCGCGGCCATGTTTTACAGGCGCGTGCATGCGCAGTTCACGCCCGGTATTCCATTCGGGTACACGCTAAGTATGATTAGACAGGCTAAAAACTTCTATTATAAAAACCACGACTTCGCGTACGTGTTTTTGACGTCCATTACATGACGTTCATGTGGAAAGTTGGGGGGAGCTAAGCCCCCAAATTATATATATATATATATATATATATATATATATATATATATATATATATATATATACTCACGCCGGGATATATATGTATATATCCTGGCGCACGAGTGAGGTTGTTTGTCCCTCCCCCACTTGCCAAAGAGTTGGAATCGAAGTTTCTTTTTATTTTATTTTACTACATCACTTTCATAGACTTCTTGTATTTTTTTTTTTTTGAGAAGCAGTTACAGGCGTAGTGTGGCTTTGTAGTAGAATGTCTGCTTGCCACGCAAAACGGCCTGGGTTCGATTCTTATTCGAAGCGAACGCTTTTATAATTTACTTTATTTCCATCTTCCTCGATGTTTTGGTTACTGACAAGGTGGTGATTTTTTGCTCAGAACCAATGACACCGACGCCAGAATTTCTGCGTAACGAGCTTTATCGCATTAAACCGTGCATGTGAAAATGCCGCCTTACAAACAATGACGCCAAATATCCGACTGAATAAAGATACAAGGCAGACCTGTCGACGCCCCGTTTATGTGACAAAAGTCGATGTCCCCGTTTCCCCCCGGCTGCAAACCCTGTGCGCGCAAATACGTACATAATGCCCAGGATAATTCTCTCTCTCTCTCATCACGCCAACAAATACTATACATCTCTCTCCCCAGTGTTTATTCGGTGCTGCAAAAAATATTCCGTGCTTGATTTTGGCTCGCAGAAACGACGTCCTGCTCACCGATCTCCCGCAGTTCGTGCCGCTGCTGGAGAAGAACCTCGAGGAAAACCGTGACCGCCTCAGGGGAAAGGCTTCCGTCCGTACGCTAGAGTGGGGCGCCCCATATCACAATGACATGGTGGCCCCCGACGTCATGCTGATAAGCGAATGCGTCTACTACGAAAAGGTAACGAGTGGCAGAAATGCATGATCTCACACGCTTCCCGATAGCGGGGCAAGCAAAGTTAATTTACTACCTTTCCTCCTCTCTCTCTTAGGTTACCTTTCTTTATATTTCTTCTCTGCGGAATCAGGGCGTCGATGAAGTATATATAAACATCCTGGAAGAAATCTACAGGGGATCAACTGCTACCATAGTGCTTCATAAAGAGAGCAACGCAATACCAATCAGGAAGGGTGTAAGGCAGGGGGACACAATCTCCCCAATCCTATTTACCGCGTGTTTACAGGAGGTTTTCACAAGCCTAACATGGGAACAGTTAGGGATAAGATTTAATGGAGAGTACCTAGTAACCTGCGCTTCGCCGATGACATTGCATTGCTGAGTAACTCAGGGGACGAATTTCAACTCATGATTACGGAGTTAGACAAGGAGATCAGAAAGGTGGGTCTTAAAATGAATTTGCAGAATACGAAAGTAATGTACAACAACCTCGGAAAAGAGCAGCGCTTCGAGATAGGTAATAGTGCGCTTCAGGTTGTAAAAGACTATGTCTACTTACTGCAGGTAATAACCGCGGAGCCGAACCACGAGATTGAAGTAACTAGAAGAATGAGAATGGGGTGGAGCACCTTTGGCAAGCACTCTCAAATCATGACAGGTAGATTGCCACTATCCCTCAAGGGGAAGGTATATATATAACAGCTATATCTTGCCGGTTCTTAGCTACGGAGCAGAAACCTGGAGACTTACAAAGAGGGTTCAGCTTAAATTGAGGACGACGCAGTGAGCAACGGAAAGAAAAATGGTAGGTGTAACCTTAAGAGACAAGAAGAGAGCAGAGTGGATTAGGGAACAAACGGGGGTTAAGGATATCATAGCTGAAATCAAGAAGAAGAAATGGACATGGGCTTGGCATGTAGCGCGTAGACAGGATAACCTCTGGTTGTTAAGGGTAACTAACTGGATTGCCAGAGAAGGCGAGCGGGTTAGGGGGAGACAGAAGGTTAGGTGGGCAGATGATATTAAGAAGTTTGCGGTTATAAATTGGCAGCAGCAAGCATACAGTAGCACATACCCGCCCCTGGGTATGTGCCACTGTTTTGGATAATGTTTGACGACGTACGCTACAGAATTGTGACATTATTCATGTCATGACCAGCGAGTCGTATTCGTGAAATCATTTTACCATTCAGTACTAGGCAGGAATAAATGAGGAAGGACAGGGAGGTTAGCCAGTTCTCCATTCCGTACTACTTTTAGTTTACCCCAAGGGGATCACGAGAGCACCGAGACGTAGGCGGCTAGCTAGCTAGCTAGAGTTGCGATCGGCGAACCACCCTTTGCCGCGGGTGCTGGGACGGAAGAAAGGCTCACCATTGTTACTACCGGCCCTAGGGAACCAAGCAAGAAGAGTTTGGGGGAGAACCGGTTCTTGACCGACGGGGTCGTCCACCCCCACCTCCCCATTCAGGCTCCTCCTGGGTAGTGTGGTAGTGATTAGAATGAAGAGGAAAAAGGCACCTAATTTCTGTCTGCCTTCAGGCGACACGGCGCAGTGCCTTATAGGGGTGGGGGGAAGGAGGGATAAAAAGAATAGAAGGAAAGTAGAAGCAGAAGAAGACAGCCAACGAGAGGAAAAAAGAAGGAGATAGGAAAGTGGGGGATCCGGTCGAAGCAGTCCAAGGGCGGGGTGCCACAATGCGAGAGCTACACGGCGTCAGGAGACCGCGGAGGGCGAACCAGTCGGCGGGAGCTACGCTGAAGTCGGAGATCGCGAGGGCACAACCGTCCAGCTTGAAATCCTGCGAGCGAATCAAAGGCTCCTCCTCTCGCCGGGAGAACTCCGGAATCTGCTGTGCGTTCGTGACCGTGTTTGGTAACATTTTTAGGGCGCCGTGACCATATATGGACATCGTGTTAGGTTGTGCCACTCCATGTGTTGTGAGAGGTGTTTCCCCCTCCCTCGTGGCCGAGGTGCCGGGGACACCGTATTGGCTGACGATGCGGACAAGGCGCCCAGTGTCAACAACGTGGCGCTATAAAATGCCGAAGACGTTTTGTATCACTCTCACTCTTCTCTCTTTGGATCAGTTGACCACTTCTCCACATGTAAATAAATCTCTGTCGTTCGTTCGGGCGCTTCTTCTCGCTGAATTGTTGGACGATGGATCCTGCGACGGGGCCAGCTACCGAAAACGAGACCGGCAGGACCCGGAGTCCCAACAACTGTCTCTCGCGCGGGGGGGTGAAGATCTCAATGGGCTGAGGTTTGCAGCCACTGTCCGGAGAGATCAACGCCGGCAGTCGGTTTGGTGACGACCATCTTTGATGAAGTAGAGGGCAACACCTGCTTCATTGTGGGCTCAACAGACATCACATACGCACATGAAAACACAACTACTAAGCCGGTGAGCGCCGGACAATTCCGCCAAACTCCACCAGGCAATTTTCCCCTTTAACTGATATTAAAGGAAATACACAATTTATTCAAAATGTTACTCACACTTTAAGGTGACACAAAACAACAACACTGGAAGCACACCGAACCCGAAACCCTGGATAGCCGTGTCTTCAACGTTTTCAAACAAGTACACCTAAAAGAGTAAAAAAACAATCACTAGCTCTTGTCTAGGTCAGGAAAAAAAAAATGCCAGAGTTCTCGAGACATCCTCTCGCGTCAGGGGCATCGACTTAAACCATCAGCGTTGACATGGAGTACACCCTTTTTGTAGCGTATTTCAAACGTATATTGTTGCAAAACGAGGCTCCAACGCAGCAGGCGGCCGTTCTTAGAGGACATGGTCTGTAGCCAGGTGAGAGGACAATGGTCCACTTCCACAATGAACTTGCTTCCGGCAATATAACAAGCCAGTTTCTGGACTGCCCAAACCAAGCACGCACATTCCTTTTCGCTAGCGCTGTAAACATGCTCGCGAAGGGTGAGTTTCCGGCTAATATAGAGGACGGGATGCTCTTCATCCCCCTCATCCCTTTGACTAAGAACTGCCCCCATGCCTCTATCACTAGCGTCGCATTGGACTATGAAAAGCCTCGAGTAGTCCGGTGAACTAAGCAAAGGTTGGCTCGACAAGGCCGCTTTCAAAACGCGGAAAGCATTTTCTTTCTCCTCATCCCAGTCGACCATTTGGGGCTCGGTCTTGCGCAACGCGTCAGTAAGAGTGCTGGCAATGTCGGAATATCTAGGGATGTACTTACGATAGTAACCAGCTATTCCAAGAAAAGCCCGAATATCGGTTTTTGTTCGGGGCTGGGGAAAGTCTCGGATAGCTGCCACTTTCATTTCAGAGGGACGGCGATGCCCTCGACCGATAACATGCCCGAGATAGAGTACCTCTGCTTGTGCTAGCTGACACTTGGGCGCCTTTACCGTTAAACCTGCTTCGCGTAGGCGTGTCAGTACTGCTCTCAAATGCGCCAAGTGTTCTGGCCAGGACGAGGAAAACACGGCGACGTCGTCCAAGTAAGGCAATGCGAAGTCCTCTTGACCCCGCAAAACCTTATCCATTAAGTTTGAAAAACAGTAAGGCGCATTCTTTAGGCCGAAACTCAGCACTTTAGGGCGGAATGTCCCCAATGGTGAAATAAATGCAGCATACCGGCTCGCCCTCTCGGTGAGCGGCACCTGCCAGTAACCTCTCACTAGGTATAGCGTTGAGATAAATTGCGCGCTGCTTACCTTCTCGACGCGTTCCTCAATGTGGGGAATCGGGTATGTCTGATCCTTGGTGATGATGTTTAACTTACGATAGTCTACGCAAGGACGCGGATCTTTGCCGGGTACCTCCACAAGAATTAACGGGGAAGTGTAATCACTTTCACACGGCTCAATCACGCCCAATTCCAGCATCCTGTTAACCTCTGCTTTTATTAGCTCAAGCCGGCGAGGTGACACCCGATACGTCTTAGATCTTACCAGTTCCGACGAGGTAAGCTCTATGTCATGAGTGAGGACGGATGTCCGGCCTGGCTCGCTTACAAATCTGTCCTGAAACTCGGTCAAAAGACCACACAATGCCTGCTTCTGCTTCGTTGTCAGTTGTGACTTTGATACTAAATCCTCAACTCTTTTGTCGATCGGAACTTCGTCCGATTCGGGAGCTAATCCAGGGATTTCTGCCGGAACCTCTTCCGGAACATTTAAAGTCATGTTCACGATGGCTTCCCTCTCTTTGTAGGGTTTGAGTAAGTTGCTATGATACACCTGGTGTGCCTTACGACTTCCTGGTAATTTTACCACATAGTTGGTGTCAGACAATTTTCGAGTAATTTCGGCCGGGCCGACCCATTGCACTTCAAGCTTATTCTTTTGGGAGGGCCTCAACAACATGACCCTGTCTCCTACAGCAAAGTGTCGTGCTTTAGCTGTCCGATCGTAGTAAAGCTTAGCCTTCTGTTGTGCTTTGGTCATCGCACTCTCGGTCAGTTCTTGGGCTTTTGTTAGACGATCCAATAAGGTGAGGACATATTCCACTACTACAGGATCATCACCCTGACCTTCCCACGACTCTCTCAGCATACGAAGAGGAGACCGCAGTCTGCGGCCGTAAACAAGTTCCGCTGGCGTAAACCCTGTTGTCTCATGTGGTGCAGTTCTTAGTGCAAACATCGTTGCAGGTAAGCACATTTCCCAGTCAGTTTTTCGTTCAAAACATAAGGCTCTTAACACTCGCTTCATCACGGAGTGAAGCTTTTCTATCGAGTTCGACTGCGGATGGTAGACTGAACTATGCAATAATTTCACGCCACACCGCTCTAGAAAGGTTGTCGTTAAGGCACTCGTGAAATGGTGCCCTGGTCTGATTGTATCTCGGCAGGAAAGCCTACCCGGGCAAACACGGACAGAAGTGCGTTCACTACTTCCACGGAACTTAGCTCTTTTAGCGGGACCGCCTCTGGAAATTTAGTAGCTGGGCAGATTAAGGTCAGGATGTGACGGTAGCCTGAAGTTGTCTTGGGCAAAGGACCTACTGTGTCAATTACCA